AGTCCCTAGGTGCATGGGTGGCGCATCTCAGAGGCAGGGGCAGGCAAGGCCTTCCCAGACTGCCCCCACCCACACTCTGCCCCCAGCCCCCCGTTCAGGGTGGCTCTGCCAAGGCTGGGACTGGGCACCACCCGTGCGCCAAACTCAAGGGGGTTGCCCGCCATGTTCAAGCTCCCCTCCGGGACTGAGGGAGCTGCCTGCCCTTCCCCCGCTCCAGGAAAACTGGGGTCCCGTGCCGCCCACCCTCCTTGTGCTGCGGGAGGGTGGTGGGAGGCTGGGACCGTGTGCCTCCCACGCAGGGCACGGCCAGCCCCTACAAGGGAGGGGACTTGGCTCCCACAGGAGCACTGGGCAGAAAGCGGGGGGCTTGCGGCCCCCGGTCCTAGGTTCACCCGGGGCCCATGCCTAAATGCACAATCGTGTGCTCGGCACTAACCCATTGTATCCCATTTCTGTTTCTCCAGGGTTCAAAGGTCATTATAGGACCCTCCCCCCTCTTGCATATTGGCCACAGCTCCCAGCCTTGTGTCACCGATAAACGTAATTACGCTCGTCACTTTCTCTGCCAAAGACACTGAACAAGTTGGCAAGTTTGGTCCCAGGACCAGTCCTGGAGGAATTGCACTAGAAAGCTCCCTGAGTCCAGCCTGACGGGTCAGCTTTCAGCACCACCTGCTCTACCCCCCGACCGGCCCTTCCGCACCGTTCCCCGCTCACGGCCTCTCCGAACTAGCTCATCCTTTCCCGCGTGGAGCTGCATGCGCGCTTCAGGCAGAAGAGTGCGACTGCATTCTCAGTCCCCCATCGGCACCGTGCGGGTGATGGCCCTGCCCTACCTCATGGAGAACTGGGAGGGTTCATCGGAGTAAAAATTGCAAATTGCTATGAGTCTTCTCAACATGAGTCTCTCCCAGCAGGGGGCGCTGTGGGGAGCAGGGCAGGAGGCCGGCGGTTGGGGGAGCTCTCAGCTCCTCCGGTCCCGGTCTCTCCCAGCAGGGGGCGCTGTGGGGAGCGGGGCAGGAGGCCGGCGGGGGGGGGAACCAGGAGGCAGCTCCAGCCCCAGCGTCTCCCAGCAGAGGGTGCTGTGGAGAGTGAGATAAGAGCACTGGCTGTGGGGTGCGCCCCAGGCCACTCCAGCCCCAGCGTCTCCCAGGAGGGGGCGCTGTAGGGATCGGGATAGGATAACTGGCTGTGGGGTGAGCTCCAGGCAGCTCCAGCCCCAGCATATCCCAGCAGGGGGCGCTGTGGGGAGCAGGATGGTTATGCTGGCTGTGGGGTGAGCTCCAGGCTGCTCCAGCCCCAGCGTCTCCCAGGAGGGGGCGCTGTAGGGATCGGGATAGGATAACTGGCCGTGGGGTGAGCTCCAGGCAGCTCCAGCCCCAGCATCTCCCAGCAGGG